GCGAAATGCAAGTCCCGCAGCTCCCACTGCAGCACACCGACAAGCTCCGGCCAACATCCCTGAAGACAGACGATGGCCTTTGGCATCTCGGACTGACGGTCTAGCATCGTCTTGACGGCATCCACGATCAGCCGGACCCTCTTCATGCTCATCTTACTCGCACGGTGAATGCTCGAGCCCCGAAGGCCCTGCAGGTCTTTCTCGATGTGCTCCAAGAAGTGGTGGTTGAGGACGTTCCAGGACACCACGTACAGGTCCTTCTCCAGGCCCATGGCCTTGCGAAGTCTTGCGCCGACAGGAAGGTGGTCGGAGACGAAGTCCCACTTGTCGTGGAGGGGCTCCACCAGGGGACTTGGGAAGTGCAACATACTCCCCAACCGGTTCATCAGTACCAGCTCCACGCAGGCTTCCAACAATTCTTGAACCTCCTGCAACACCTTTTCCACCTGCTCCGCTGCTGTTTGCTCCTGACCGACAGCTGCCCGATCCTGTTTAGCACTCACTGTCCCCAGGCGCTGAATGACATTCTGCACGCAATTGAGGCCTTCCCCCGTCTCTGGCTGTGGCCCTCGGTGCTGCGAATCCGCAAGCTGCCTCTCCACGTCCTGCAAGCTTTCGCCTCGGCACTGCGGCCACAATGAATCAACAACCCAAATCATTTCCTTTTTGAGGATCCGGCGAAGTGCTGGAAGATCTGCCAAAGCGTCGTTGAAGGCATCGTCCTGCAACTCCTTCTTCCTCGTCCTGAGGGTACGTAGCAGCAAGGATTTGGTGCACTGCCTAATGCACAAAGATCACAAAGTGGAGTTCAATGCACCTCGCTCCGAGCTATCCCTGTAACCTTCTTGAGAGGGTGATGCGCTCTCACTGGTATGGAACAAACTGCCTGCCGGAACCTCCCCTTCCTGGCCTTCGCAACATGGTAAACAGTGTTTCAGCATGCGCTGCAATCTGGCTGAGTCTAGCTGGCCAGGCAGAAAAAACGGGCTTCAGGCAGTGAAGCATATGCAAATGCTTCTCCAGATCAATCTCACGCTGTGCCAAAAACGCACTGCGTTCCCACAAGCGCTTCGCCTCAGTGCTGCAACTCGGCGGCTGAGGTGAACATCAGCATGGCTCTGTGGGCCTAACCTACACACAGACGTGTAGGCCGGTTGCATTTGAGTTACCAGCTTCATAGCTTTAGGATGCGGACCGGAGTATTCGTGCATGCACATCTCCACGGCTCCAAGGAAGTCCTTCTCCGGTGTGACCGGGTGGATCAAGCCATTTCCGGAGCTGTAGCCAAATCGAATCACGTTGGTCACCTCGACACACCGAGCCTGCGGCGAAGCGGTCTCTGTCTTGAAAAGGTCCGTCTTGGCATAGAAATCCAACTTGGCCGCGCGCGAGCGGTTTCCAGTTGTCAATACATCTTGCAGCGTCACAACCGCTCCTTTTTCATCTTGCCTGCTCCCATTGAGCACATCTGGCACCGACCAAACTAAGCCACCTGCCTTTAGCCCGCCCCAATATACAGTGGGCCGGCCTGGGCTCTTCCCGCCCTTCGCGAACTTCTCGCAGAGCTTCTGCAGCAATCTTTCCAGTTCGCTCGCCGCTGCTTCTGGAGCTGCCTTGACTCCCTGCCCAACGTCCACTATCAAGTACTCCTCCAGATCGACATCGCCTGGGAAGGCCAATTGACTAAAGCGGAAACTTCCGTCTGGACGGCAGAGGCTTTGCAGGGAACACTGGTCCACGACTTGTCTCAAGTCCTCGCTGAGATCAGCGATAAAGCGCTCCTCGACCAAAGCTGATAGTCTGCAGAACTTGCACTGGGCCTTGCAGCCTTGTTTGAGGCACGGTGTGCATCGGATGAACCTTTCTGCATCCTGGATGCCAGCCCAGTCAACCTGTCGGAGGCAGTTGTGCTCTTTCAATTCCTCAGCTGTCATCGGCTTCAGCTGAGCCGATTCCGTGGCAAAGCCCATGATGCTAGAAAGCTCGCGCGCGGTCTTGTTGAGCTCTTCTTGCGCCAAGTCCTCAGTCGCCCCGGTGACGGCAACTCGGAGCATCCGAGATTGGCTTCCACTAGCCGGAAAGAGCGACACACTGACCAGTGTGCTGCCGTCTGATCGGAACTCCAAGCGATTTCGGAAGATCTGAGGTGCCCCCGGCCTCAACCTGTTGTGGTCTGCCCCTGCTCCAGCCTCGAGCTTTAGCTCGCACAGGCGGTGAGCGATTTCGGGGAAGAGGTTTGGCGAGATGAAGCCATCCACGTCGATATAACCAACTGTACATTCAGCCGGATGGGGATCAGGAAGGTGGGCCAAGGGCAAGCAACATGGAACGGTGAATTCATTCTGCACGCGTCGTCTTTGGATTATGCCTTTCGAAAGCATGACCTCTGCCATGATCTCCCTTTCTTCCGGACTGTTTTCCTCCCACAAGCACTCAAGGAGCTTCCAGGTTACCACTCCACTTGTTTTGAAGCGATACACATCCTTCGGCATGCGCCAGCTGACAGAGTCAATGCTCTCTTTGTGTTCCTCCGAGTGCTCGAAAGCACTTTCGTCCCAGTACCGCAAGCTCATGAGGGAGGCCAGGGCGAGTGCCACTTTTCGGACATTCAGAAGCACGTGATCGCGAAGGCCTGGCTTGTTGTACCAAAATAGAACCCCAAGCGCATGCAACAGATTCAGCAGCTGGGGGACATCCTCTGTTGCAACACCGGATGGCTGCATGCCCGTAAGCGTTGCTTCGAGCTGATCCAGCCGAAGAGAAGTGCAGTGCACTTCTATTGAAATGCTGTCTGTCACATCATCGTCATCACGATCGGCGGCAGTCTTCAAACAAATGTGTGAAGAGGCAGGAACTACAAAGTCTTGGTGCAGGGTTGCATGCTTGCCTGTGAGATTCTTTGTCAGTACTGCCGTCCCAGGCAATGCATGAATTGGAATAATTTCTGCAAGACTCGTTCTGTTCACGGTGAGCTTGAAGGGTGCAGCAAGTGCAGTGAGCAACTCGTGCGCACGCAACCAAGATACTGGGTACGTGTCCGCCTGCATTCCAACATGTTGTGGTGCATCAGTGCTCTCTTGTTTTCGAGATTGCAGCCATTCCCGCTTTGGTGTAAGTGTATCCCGGGCCAGATCTTGCAAACGGTCTCGCAAAGGCTGTATGTAATTTTCTGAATCGCTGTCAAAGTTTTCGACTCGATGCAGCCATCCAGACCGAGTGTTCACGCGTTGAGGCTACTGTCGCAAACGAGGCAGCTGCAGTAGCAAGTCATCAATGCGGCGATTGATCTTATCTGCATTAAAGGTCTCGTGACTCTGGGACCACTTCGTCCCAACGACCAGGACAGGAGGAGCCCCATCTGACCCCAACTTCGCGTCAACAGCATAGAGGGCCACGGCCCATAACCAAAACTTCAAATGATGCCAGGCTTCCTCCATGTGCAGGGCTGAGTGATGTCCAGGAGTCTAGACACATGTTCGAATATTGTCACATGTCACTGTGCTTCTTTCTACTTCAGACTGACAGGCCTGCTGCGACCTACATGAGATCCACATTGACACATATCACATCTACGACGGCAAAGTTGGACTTTATTTAGAGTCCGCAGGCTTGCGATATTGACCCGGTAGACTGCGCTGTCTACATCCGTTGACTCAGCCTGTTGTGGAATGTCTAGACTAATTTGGGGAACGACCTGCCTCAATGTCCAGGCTGGTATCACAGAAGGCGACATAGATCCCGCACTTCTGGAAGTAGAGCAGATTGCAGAGAGCGTACTCCTCTTGGCCAGGCAAGTCCCAACACTGCAGCCGCGGCTGGAGCGCAGGGTCCTCTTCCGCAGAGTTTTTGGCAGCATCTGCAACTTTCTTCACGAGCCAGTCCCCGATGGGACGTGCTACCAAGGCCTCGCCCTTGTCCTTTGGCAGTTCAGGCTCAGGCTCCTCTTCATAGGCTGATCCACAAAATGAAGAAGATGCGTCATAGGTTGATCCACAAAATGAAGAAGTTGCTTCGTCACGGAATTCAATCGTCGGAGCCTGCTCCCGGGCTGAACTGCTATCTTCAAAGCCAACGCCCTTCTTCGTTGCCGTCATGTTTTGATCATCTCCCTTTACAGCATAGTCTTTCTGATCGGCCTCATCGTCGCAAGGAGGCAAGGCACCTGGAATGCTAGGCGTGGCTGGTGCCGGTGGCATCTCGCGGTGCTTCTCAGAATCTTCTAAGATCGACCGATTTCCGGGAGTTTTCATGGTTTTGGACCTTTTGATTGTCGGACCTGTCCCAAGACTTTTCTTTTTCGTCACCGGCTCTGTCTTGAGTTTCCTATCCTTGCGGAGACACTGGACAGCTGTGTGGTCATAGAGTAAGGTCTTGCTTTCCTTCCACGTGCAATTCAGATCCTTGCCAGCTTCTCCAGCCCAGATGTCGACACCGAACGTCGAAATCTCGTCAGCACGTGGCTGCTCACCCTTCAGCCGCCTTTCAAGGCATCATGCGGTCAATGCCAAAACAACCCAAAACAACAGCTCATGACTCTGAATGTGCACTCTGGAAGCATGCACCCGAGAGTTCTAGCTTCCACGTGGTGAGGTCCGTACGTCTCCGGCCTAAGCGTGGTAGTCTTCCCGGCCCGGCCCTGGCCCACGAAGTAGAGGCGAACGACGGGCAGCGGCGCATGCCCGGATTGCTGCCAGGCACCAAGCTCCCGCCTCGCGAGCTCCTCGAAAAGAAAGGCCAAAGGCGTTTAGGGTTTAGGCCAGCTGATGCGGATCAGGCGCACCTGCAGAAGAACCCGTATGAGGAGCAAGTAGACAGGCTGCTCGGATCATTTAGGCAAACACGCGCAAAAAAAAGTCTTTCTCCAACCCGAATGATGAAGATGGCCATGACGATTCCAAATCCTCAAGGCATGCCTGCTTGGTGATAGTGCCTGCTGCACCTCTAAATAGATTAATACAAAGCCAAGTTGTTAAAGCACACTCGGCGCGACCTCCTCGCGATTCTGCAGGAACTGGGCAGGGCCTTGGATGAGTTCGCCGAGCATCGCGCTGTCGAGGTCTCCGAGAACCGAAGCTTCGATCTTCACCGTGTCCAGTTCTCTGAGAAAGCTTTGGAAGTGGCTGGGCTGGACGATGCTGAGGAAATTCGTCAGTGTCATCGGCGCCTCAGTTTCATCCTCGGGCTCTCTTAAGCGGGCTGGCAAGGCCTTGTAGAGCTCACGCAACTTCGGCATGTGCTCTGTCACGGCATCCCGCAGATCTGGACCCAGCTTCAGACTACTCAGGTCAACTTC